TCTGAGTGGGGGGTGGTGGAGTGGGAGTGAGGAAGGTGCCCTAGGATGGGAGCGAGGGGAGGTGCCCTAGGGTGGGGGGTTGGAAATGGGAGGGCCCAGCTCTGTGGGAGGAGAAGGGTGGCCTCAGCTTTGAGGGGAGGTCCCCTTGCTCCTGCTTTGAGAAGGGGATGCTGTTGCTGGGAATGGGGTTCCAGCTGGAGTGTGTTTGAGGGGGCTCAAGCTCTGGGGGGGGGTGTCGTTACTGTGCCCTTGAGGGGGGGTATGTGTGGTGTATTGGTGGCACAGAAGGATGGGGGTGCCCCCTGTGGGGTTTATGCCACAGAGGGCCTTGGGGAGGGGCGGAGGCTCATGGTACGTGTGGCTCCGAAGTAGTGGGACTGGGAATAGTATAATAGCCACCGCATAAGGCTCCCTCCCCTTGTGCAAATGCATAGGGGTCCCAGCACTGCAGTCTTGTGTCGGCTACAATGCATGTTTGAGGTGATGGGCTGTCCTTGGAGACCAGGGTCAACAGTTAAAGCAGGAAACTGGGTGCCAGGCCTCCTGGTTACGTTCCCAGTGCCATCACCAACTTCCTGTGTGACCAGAAAGTCTTGTTTGTACTCGATTTACCTATCTGGAAAATAGGGATAAAGAGACTCAGGAGCCTGGTGGGGTGAGTGAGGATTAATTGATGTCTGTCTGAAGCACTTTGAGTTCTGCTGATCAGAGATTCTAATATCGACATGGGCAGCGTGGAATCTCCAAATGCCTATGCAGAACAGGGGGTCGGGCAGCACCCTGTAAATTAGGTTTGGGTTTGGTTTAGTTCCCCCCCCCCCCCATGTGAAAGACCAAAAGGTCCTGACTTAAGTTCAAAGTTTGCTGTGCAAAATCTACTGAAAATTCCTCTTGTTTATTTGTCTATTTAGTATCTTTTAGCCTGGTCCTCCCTTTACCTTGTCCCATCTAATGAAGGCAGGTGGTTAGAGTTCTCCAGAGGAGTCTCTGGCGCATAGTGTACCAACAGGAATTAACATCACCCTTTTAGGTGTTTGTTTCTCCGCTGAGTGTGACGTGAGGCATGAGGGCAGCACCGTGAAGACACGCAAATGCTACAAAACAAAAGGAATAATCATTCCCAGTGTTGATCATCCCTCAAATGAGGTCAACAACCTCTACTGTCTGAGGAGTTGGGGAAACACATAGCAGCCTCTCTGCTACAGGTGGTAAACCACTGAATTAATTATCCCCCAAATCAAATCCCACCCCATGGTCATTCAGGCTCCCAAAGAATGGTAGGGAATGCTTGGGTAGGTATGTTCACTGAAGGCAGCGGGTGCTGCTCCTTCCCCGTGTCTGCTGTTCTGGCTCTGCCGGATCACGTTATAATCTCTTGTCAGCCAGGGGATTAGTTTTCTCTCACTGCCACAAGAAGGCATTAGGGACTGCTGGTGTTTGCAGCACTTGCAGTTTAGGGGGGGGGTGAGGTTTTGTTTGATATGCGTGACTGAGCAGCAGTGCCCAGTCACTGAGTGCACAGAATTCCCTCTATAGCCATGAACGAAACTGTCATTTTTGCCCTTCAAATGCCAGAATTGCTAGGTGGTGCTGAACTAAGCCTCACATGAGAAGTAGGGAAGTATTGCTCTCCAATTTCAAAGGGGGGAAACGGAGGCACCTTTTGGGGGGATGTATGTGAGGGGAAAGTGACTTGCTCAGCATGTTAGTGAGTTAGGGTGGAACTGGGAATCTGAACTGAGATCTCCTGAGTCTCATGTCTATGCTTTAGCCACAAGATCAGTCAGGACATACAAACATGCACACAGTGCCCTACTTTTACTGGGCAATTTGAAAATCCTTGTTTTTTTTTCTCCCTTCCGATGTCTCCAGGCCCCACGCCCAGCTCTGTCACCACAGAGGGGTCACAAGTTCCTGGGGCAGGAAACTGCTGCCACTTTAATGGGCAGCACCATTTGTTATCTCCTTCCATTTGGCAGCAGATGGCCTCAGACCCAGCAGCTGGGGAAAGCCCCCTGAGCATTTCCAGCCATCAAATTTCCTTATTCATCTGAATTGTGAATCCTTTTTGTTTTTTTTAAACAACTTTGCCCTAAAGTTCCAAATCCTCCTTAGCAATTCTGTATTTCCTTAGCAAACGCCCTGCAATCTAGAAGGGAATAGCTTCACCCTCTGCTGAAAATGTAGCCACTTCTGTGGTGGAGCATAACAGTTGTTCAGCTGCTCACTCTATATGCACACAAACAAAACAAGTGTCTATATAATGTTTTTATGGTATTAGCATTTCAAAAGCTGGTCAAGATAGCTGCAAACAGAAATTTAGT